CCCGCGGGCGGCGCGTACGGAGCGCCCGGCCGCCGCCCGCAGCCGCACCGCGCCGCACCGCGCCACGCAGCGCCGCACCTGGCCCGGCTGCGAACTCGAATTAAAGGGGCCGGCGGGGGCCAGAGCCGAGCAGGTGGCCGCTGAGTTGCGCCCCCCTCCCCCCCTCCCCCGGCCTCGGCCCCCACCCTGCGAGGAAAACACCCATGCTTTGGCAGAACCCAGCTTACGAACCAGAACCTCGTGGAGAGCTCAGCTGCGTGCTGCCGGGCCCGGGGAAGGGGGACAGGAGTTGAGGGGCGGTCGGGAGAGGCTCCTGCCAACAGAATGAAGTAGGCGAGGAGGAAACAATCGATAGCAGCCATCCCGGGTCCGAGGAGGGATCCAGCCCCGCGGGAGATGTGTTGCTATTTTTACGAAGCTGCCAGCCAGAATTTGCAGACCCCCTCTCGCGCCCGTTCGCCCCCTCCTCCAGCTCTGCCTCCCCACCTCCCTCTTACCCTGCCAAAGCTTTGGCTTCGCGAGGGAATGCAGCAGGTATGGGCCGCAGTGTAGCTGAAACTCACTGGGTTGGTTTCCTGCCAAGGAGCCCCAGGAAACGGGCAGAACTGCAGAGCCGGCCCTCTAGGCTCCCCTCCCCTCCAGGGCCGGGCAGGGAAGGCTCTGGGCCGTGCTGCTGCCCTAGGGAGAGGCCAGCCACTCACAAAACCGGTCTCCTCACAGACCTTAACAGGGCCGGATGGCCCACGGAACTCTGAAAATGGGAGTCCAGCTCCCGGCACCCTGGCACCCTGGGGTGTGGGCAGAAGAGAAAGGCCTTTGCTTTTGGAAGAAAGGGTAGGGGAAGCCCAGCCTACCCTCTGCTCAGATGGTGGATGTGAGAGGGTCCAGGGTGCTCATGACCACATTACAGCCCCATGCCCCTGGGAGTTCTGGCATCTGGATCTCTGTCAGAATCATGGCTGCAAACAGTGATTCCGTGAGCCCCAGACTGGGGCAGACCAGGAGCCTTAGATGCAAAGGGGCTCCAATCCCAGGGAGGCTCCTGCTGGGACCTCCTTGCTAAGAACTTTCGGTCTCTAGGCCTGTAGCCTTGTGATGGAAGTTCTGACAGCCGTCAGGGTGGTGTGCTAGGTATGGTTTAAGACTGGGGGCCTACCCAGAGCTGCAGGGCATGGTCTGGGAGGGAAGTGACCTTAGTGAGCTCTGGGGATGACACATAAAGCGGGCTGGTTTGGCCTAGGGCTTCTAGAACTTGAGCCATCCATGTCCCAGCCTGAGGGTGACCTGGGTGTTTTGAAGCCAGCCAGGACCTAAATCCCTGCTGGGTAGGAGGTGAATTAATTCAGCTCTCTGGACCTCGGTGCCCTCATCTGCAAAATGAGGATACTTCACGAGCTGTTGTGAGGGTTAAGTTGCTTATGTAAAGAGTTTAGCCCCCAGCAGACGCTCCACAGATGATGGTTTCTCCACTCTGCCTCCCTGTGAAACACGCCGTAACTCCCAGCCTGTAGCTTGGCTTGTGGCTCTTTCTCTAAGTTCCCGATCACCGATCACAGGGGTTTTCTGGCCTATTCTCTCTGCCTCCCAGTGTGCCCCACCCCTCACTTCCCCTGAGATTTCAGCCATTCCCACCTCCTTCAGCACACAGTCTGCCGGTCTGGGCTCCGCACTCCTACTGGAAAGTCTCCCCTCCCAGCTCTGCAAGGCTCTGTTTCTCCTTCTGGCTCCGTGGGGGTCCTCATGTCAATTGAAGCACAACACACATCCGTTTGACCACCTGTATATATTTTCTTCGCCCGCCTTTGTTCAAATGAAAGCCGCGGACAGAAAAAACGCTCTTGAGGGAGAATTCATAATTGTGCTAATTGGTAACATGTGCCCAACCATGTGGCGGACACTGTGCTAAGCACGTCCAGTTCAGCGGGAGGCTTAATCCTCACAGCTCCCAGAGCTAGTTTCTACATCACTACCGTTTCCGGGGGGGGGGGGGGAAGGAAATTGAGGCAGAAAGAGGTGAAGCAACCTGCCCGACGTCCCTGAGTGGTGGCTCTGGGACTTGAATCGGGTGTCTGTGACCCTAGGGCAGATACCCTTAGCCCCCACGCCACACTGCTCAGGTACTGGAGCAGCCCCAGAATTTCATTTCCCTCTTTGGGATCTTCCTCTGACCCCTGTCCCATCTGATCGGGCTCAGGGGTATGTCGTCCTACTCCACGGCCCCCCCACCCCCCTCAAAGCCTTACCTAAGTGTGAACAACAAGCAAAAAGAAATGAAGGAAAAAAGGGAAGAAAGAAAAAGGAGCGTAATATCAGTTGTGCCAGGGCACGTGGGGTGTGGCTCCCACCCTGGACGGTCCCTCTTGGTTTGGCAGGGCTGTGTGAGAAAAAGAGCACGGACCCAGTTCCTACCTCTGGCATTTGCTAGCTGTGTAAACTCGAGCAAGTTATTTAAACTGCTCTGGGCCTCAGTTTCTCCTTTGGTGGGTGGGACAGCAAAGCGGCTCACAGGGTGGGGGGCAGGATGAACTGAGGTGTAGTGGACAGCCAGCCAGCTTAACCTAGCTGCTTGATCACTGTTAGCTCTCTTTCCAGCCCTCTAGAGGCCACCATTTCTTATTCTGGGCCACGAAAGGACAGCTGGGGTGCCTCTTGATCCCTCCCTAGGGCCGGCCAGACCCCCAAAGACCACTCCTTTATCCTTCAGTCGGGTGTCCTGCTTGGGGGCCGTGCCTTGTCTTCGGCAGAGGGAAATACTGGTGACGGTCACAGCAGTGACCTGCCAGTGACCTGAAGTTGTCAGTTCCTGCCCTCTGCGACTACAGTCACTGAAAGGAGGAGTTATGACAGGGCACATCCATGAACCCCAGCCCCCAACACACACACACCAAGGCACTGCGGGTACCTTGGTGGTCTCTTGGAGGGTCTCTTCGTCTTTCCCGCCATGATTCATGAATGTAGAAGACAGGAGCGCCCTTCTCTGGTGTCACTTCCAAAGGAGTGGCTCTCCTTCCTTGCATGACTGTCACCTCTGCTGAGGCTTGGTCCCCCACCAGCCCTCGGGCCCACTGTGGTGGCACAGCCCCCTTGAGCCCGCAGGAAGCAGGCCAGGGAAACAGGGAATGTGGGCCCAGGCGCCTGCTGACAGCTGTCGTGGGTTGTTTGATTGACTCCTTGGCACCACCTAAGGGAAAAGATGCCATTATCTCTATTTTATAGATGAAGATACTCAGAGAGGACAAGTCGCTGTCCAGGGCAATTTAGCTCGTAAGTGGTGAGGCTGGAACGGAACTCAAGATGTCTGACTCCACAAATCACTGTTCATTCTCCTGCCCACTTCGACCGTTAGCCTGGTGCCAGGCCTCTGGGCTCACTTCCTGGTCTTAGGGGCAGGGATCCCATCCAGCAGACCTTCTAGACCCTTAGGATATATCCATATATTCTGTGGAGGTTGCCCAACCTGCCAGGATGTCTGTTTTGGAAGCTTGTTGGTGGAGTCAAGACAGCAGTACAAGATTCAGGACCTGAAGTTTCCGCTCTGTGCCTTTGCCTGGAGCAGCTCGACTGATGGCTGTCACATCTGCAGGGCACAGGGCTAAGCCTCCCTCACCCCAGAGCTTTAGTCTTAGCATGCAGAGCTGTGTGACCCAAAGCCACTGGCTTGACCTTTCTGTGCTGTGGTTTACTTGTAAGATAGGAAGGGTAGCATTTGTCCCCTGGCTCCCCTTGCTTTGTAGGGTTTAAAGAGAGAGTCGAAGG